CTAGTAAATTTAAACAAAAATAAATAAGAAAAAAATAACATAAAAATAATGAAAAAGAGAGGATGATCCAAGCCCAAAAGTTGAGCCCAATCCAATCATTAAAAAGGGTTAATAAAAAAAAGAAGGCGAGGAATTGCTGCACATGGAATTTGAACCCACGATGCAAAAGCCATTGCTAAACCCCTTATGCATCGAGTACAACTTCTCACTTATTTTCAAGGGATTGATTTTTAATACATGTACATATAAAATCAGAATTTGACCCTATTTATATAATGTCAATTTTCGACCGAGGAAATTCGGGTGAACCCTCTAGACACAACCTAGGTCCAGCCCGGTATATATATACATATTTTTGAAAGTACAAGGTAAACTTTATCAAAAGGATGACATAACAAGTTATATTAAGAATTTTTAAAAAAATTGTTGAGTTACCTCCTTGAAATTAGGAGAGAAATATTAATTAAAAATAAGGAAAATACCCTGTTTAATGAAAATCGAGCCTACCCACATTTTTTTCTACATACAATAAAAAGTTATTTCATGGTGAATAATAATGATAGTCAGATTTATTCTTATTTCGGTCTTTCTCATCCCTCCCATTACCCTAATTTGAGCCGCCTTCACCATCCAAATATTTTTTCTTAAAATGATAGAAAGATTATTAATTCAACGATCTACATGTTTAAAAATTAGTTTTGATAGATTCAATTAATTTTCTCTTATGCCTTTTTGTCACTCAGCCAATTGAAAAAGAATATTTTTTCCTTATTCTACAAAAATATCAAATGTAAAAAACATATGCAAGTTTGATTAAATAGTTGAAATTAACATAAATCTATGTCCCTTCAAAAGCACGTGATAAAAGTTGAAACAATATAAATAGCAACGTATAATTATCCATCCCCCTTTAAATAAACATAAACATCTCTAGGGTGAAAACTAATCGAATATATGACATATACTTTATAGCAAGAACAAAAATAAAGAATCTGATTTGATATTTCATTAACACGCAAAACTCATTTAATTAACTATTGAAATTACATAAACAAGTATAGAATGGACTTATAATCACAGGAAAAAGAGAAATTTCATATTCACTAGACAAAAGATGAATCTAATAAGAGGTCAATTTTAAAACAAGAACAAAAATCATATGAATTAAATCTCCTTTGAATGAAAATCACACAAAACTTACTTAAATAAGAAAACCAAAAATAATTCTATATATAGATTTGTAGAAACTCTACCTTCATAGTCACAAGACTTCAACAAATCAATCATTTTAGTTGCATTATCTTTGACATGATCATCTAACATCACGTAAACTTCGTCCATTATATCATAACAAGTAGTTGTCATTGAGCTATTTGCTTCAAGAATTTGAGAAGATGAAATACAAAAAATTATTTGCTATATAGAAGATTAAGTTTAACAGAGAAACACTTTGCCCTTTTCGTGGCGTTATATAGTACTTACAGTGGGCAGTAAGTATGTTTAAATAGCGATCTTAATTCTTATATTATATGTTTATTTCATGTTTGGTCCCTACATAATTCGATTAAGCGTAATTAACCTTCCATTAATATAAATATGTGATTTTCATCCTTCAAACTCATAAAAATTAAAAACTTGACAGAGACATTTATTTTAATAATATAAGGACTTCATTCAATAAAAAATATTGAAAAAAGTAAAGTTATAAAATTCATTTTAAAATACTAATCCAGGACTTTGAAGCAAGAAGATGATGACGAAAATTGACAAATGACCATTTAAGCATTTATACTTGGTTCATATATATAACTATCATTAATTTGATGGATTAAAATTGACCGTTTATATTATTTTTAAGACTAATAACGCATATAGTCGAATTCTACATGGATCAAAACTTAAATATATATATGACTCAAGGGTCAAAATAAGTATTTGTCGTACAAATCTTTTTAATTTGACTTATGTAGTTATTGTTTTCTTTCTTTAATCAAGGAAAAGATATAATTTTGACCTCTTTTTTTTTCTTTCACAGGTTTAGTATGAAGGGCTATGTTTTCTTGAAAAAGAATAGTTTTTGGTGTTGATAAACTGAGTGTCCAAAGAAACTTTCGATCATAAGAAAAAATCACTTTTGAAAGATCCAAAATTTCAAAGATCATGCTCATACTTATTCTAATTCACCAATAGGTACGTCAACCTTCCATCCAAAGGAAAACTAAAATGATACTTTGGTGTAATTAAACGCATAAAGTCTTAACCCCATCTTTCAAATATATAAAAAAAATGTGTATAATAACAAAATACATAAAAAATAAGTGTTATCAGTAAAAAAACATCCAGTTGAATACAATCGTCTAAAAATTTTAATTTTGTCTAAAATAATAAAGTCATGAAAGTAAAGATATATGAAGTATGACATCCTTTTGAATGTCAAGTAACTTACCAAAGCTCCCAAAGAAGTATTGTCTTGAATGAAATATCAACAAGGCCACAAGTGTTTGGATATTCATAAAAAGATGCAACAAAATAGTATAAGTAAGACAATGCATGTACTTAGTAAGCGTCGTAGGCTGATTTAGATAAAGTTAGATAGCCATATCATAAGAAGTATGAATTGTACCAAGACTAGTTCATAAGTTCAATTCATTACATGTCATGATCCAAAATCGGACTTTGAGCGATGAATATACCAAAGGATATAACTATACGGAAGCACTAAGAAGAAGAGGAGAGGTTTGTTGCATGAATATGTATAAAATAATATACAAAAAGGGGTATGAAAGTGACTGAGAAAGAAAAATTATATACAAGAACCAACTCCAAACCTAGTATCACTAGCACAAGAGCGTCTAAACACAAAAAAATTCTATAAACATCAAATTTGTCTAATAAAAACAAAATACACATAGACAATAACAAAATAGAAAAAACAACAATCTCTAAAAATCAAAAGCTCACTATAATCAGATCATCAACAACAACATAATATTTGAACTTAGCGAGGGTGGCTTCTACTATGAGTTCCATCACAAAAAAAAAGTGTAGTATGATTATCAAAATATGAATTACTAAGTAGGCATCATATGTCGATTGAGTTCAATAAAAACTATATAAACAAAGAGACACAATAATGCTAACACTACATCTTAGCAGCTAATGAGAGATATATCGACCATGATAGTGAAGATAATAACAATAAGCGCATAGCAACTAATACATGACAATCATGATCAAATAGATAACATGACGATGCAATGCAAATGTGGACCGTGCATAAAAATAGAATTAAAAGCTCGAACATACACAAAGAAAATCACACAATCATACCAAACCAACCTTAACGGATAAACTTAAGTTTCAAGACACATCGAAAAATTCTAAGAATCCTATATTGTCAACCAAGACTAAGTCTAATCTTAATCAACGGCTTAACGACTAAAAGCAACTAAGCTAAAAGCATGTAAGTGGCCAAAATACAACTAAGGATGATAAAAATCTAGAACGTCATCCTTAAAGCTTTCTAATGATCAATCCTATTCAATTTATGTAGAATCCACTAGCCCAAGTTTAAAAGGGAGAAAATTATAACCTATTTCAAGAAACTACACTCGAATCTCTACTCGGGTGCTTTTTCTGTATGAAGAGCCTCAGAACACAGTCACACTATCAAAAACAAAATATGGTCATTAATATGGACAAACTATATATACCCATATTGATGTTAAAAATTTCAAACTTGAAATCGGGTTAAAAATTGATTCTCAAAGTTCGACAACAAAACGAAAAAAGAACTCTATTAAACAAAAAATCTGTATAAATATAGTAACTGTAGATTGTGTATCTAATTTTATGAGAAATATTCGATGAGATATTATATATTCAATTTCATGTATATATGTTCTTCTTTCTGGAATCAGAGTAAGAGAATAGGGCATTATATGTGGATTACAAGCACCACACACTTCAAATCCTGCCACAAACAAATGTTTGGCATTTAAGTAGAGAATGGTAGAATAACAGCCCATTATCCACTCATTTTCAACTTAGTGCCAACATACCCTTGAGGATTTCTTGGTTATTAAAAAAAACGACATCTTTTTTTTTTGAGTTAAACAATATATCTATTAGTATTACAAAAAATGTATGTAAAAATTACAACGAAGACCAGGAGCGAATGTGGACTATCCACGCCACTAAAACAAGGACATCGAAGACTAAGCCTATCCTATTCAACCTAAAAGGCCGGAGAGCACAACTCCAGTTTACAACTATCTACACTAGGAATGACAAAAAACAGAATACATCAAAAAAATATCCACAATGAATTAAGCCTATAG